TAAACAAATAAATAAATAAAGGTGTGAAAACACCTAAGATTAGAAAGGGAGCCTGGAGAAAGTCAATTTCCCAATCTGCTCATAGGACATGGTGAGAATATAATTAGAATTTTTACCTGCGTTGGCAAATACAAGGGGAGAATTTGTATGGGTGTGTAAATATAAGCATGGCCATCACTATCAGCTATAGCTGAGTAGGTGTTTGCTGCTACTCAGCTGTATATGACTCTATTACTTCTTGCCACTTTGCTTCCATGCCTCTTAAGCATGGCAATCTTCTTTGTTTGCTAGGGATGCAAATTGGTCTAAAATAAGGACTGGTATAGTGACTGCTCTTGTCAGAAAGGCAACAATTGTTTCCTAATGCAGTGATATTGTCCTATTGTAATTTCTAGGAAGAAGGATAAAATTATAAGTTGTGTCCTGTGGTCTCTTCAAACTGTTACCTTCCCCTTCCATTCAAATTTTTAATAGTATCCAGCAAAGTCATGCAGGAGTAACCATCATCAGACTCTACGTACTGTGCCATATAAGATGAAGAAACACTGTTCAATTAGTTTCTTCCTCTGATCTGGCCCCCTGACATCTTTGATGCCCTGGCCTCAGTTCTATCCCTCTGTAAAATTCACCATGCTATTTTTCAAAGCTTTTCTTTCCCCTTTCCTGAACTTCCTTCCTTCCCTGACTCCTCTCCCCCTTCCCAACCTTCCATTCCAACAGCCCAAGTCTAGGGGCTATTATGTCATGCCCATCATCATATAGACAGCCCAACGTGCATCTGTCTACATGGCATTTACTATGTGATAAACCATTTCTATGCTGCAGCTCACCATCGAACAGATAGCGGGAGTTTTGCCAAATCACTGCAGGCAGCAAAAAGAATGGTTCCCAGTGGCATGGTGGAACTTGTTCAGTCAATCAGTGCTCACAATCAGTTCCGTCTGTGTGTGACAACAGCTCCAGCTTGTGCAAATGAAGTCCTTTAAACTGGGAAAACAGCACCTGAAGCAGGGTGAATGGTTGCTTTCAATAAGGTAAATAAAATTCAATTATTAAGATTTCTTTTTTTAAAACTACCCTTTCTGCACTGCCTATTGTCCAAATATGATGTTCCCCCCACATACACTTTCTCATCTCGTGTTTTCTTGTTCATTTCCCATTTCTCCGGTCAAATGTGTTCACTTCACATACTGCAAACATTTTTCTATGAATGAAGTTACAAAAAGTTACAAAAAACTAGCCTTTATCATTTTAAAAATTTTCCAGCTTGATTTCAACACTGTTTCTTAACAGTGTTATTACTAAGCATTCATATGAAGGGTTTAATCTAAAACTAATAAATCTAATATGAGGGTTCATCAACCCAAATAATATGATCTTAGACTTTCCATTTAATAAAAGAGACAATATAGTAAGTTAAGTAAATTTCAGTGTTTATAATTTAACAAGCTAATAGACCTTGTAATTAAAAATAAATGTAAAGAATGCCCTATGCAAATCCAGTACTAACTACTAGACTAATTATGAGGGGAGAAACTACTAAAAAATCTTGGCTATCCGTATGTACTTAGAACACTGCCCCCGGGCTTAAATGAATATTACTACCTAGAATGATGAACAAATCATGTAACACAGAGAAAACGTGATAGAAATATTAGGAAATTAATTCATGGACTTTGTTATATTATGTTTTTAAATCCATATGGAAATGTGCAACAAAATGTTGAAGTGTACTGTCACCCCTAAGATGGGTGCTCCTTTTCAGGGTTTCAGTCAACCCATAACAAGAGTCTTCTATTTGGAGGCTCACAGAAGATGGAGGAGTGCTTCAAGTGGAAGGAAAGGGGAAAACACCGCTGTTTTCTCTTTCCCCCACCTTTCAAAACTTTCATCCCCTGCTACTTAGGCCTAAAGTTCAGACCTGCTACCCCAACATTCCTCTGCTTGGTATGTCTCTCCACACCTCAGTACAAGGTTTGGGAGATTGCTTCACTCATCAAGGAGGAATGTTGCATGGGTGTGGGGGAGCTGGAAATTCATACATCATCAGCTGGAACAGGAGGGAGAGATAGGAAAATTCTGTTCCACTTCTGTGCCTTCTGTTGGTGGAAAACTTGGTCTGGATACAGCCCTATGTGAGAGGGGGAATGCCACTCAGTTTTTATAGGTTAGGTTTTTGTAACAAGATAATTTTGAACCATTAGCTGCCCAGTTTGGGACACCTTTGTAGGTTTTTAATAGATGAATCTAACTGAATAATTCACAAAACATTGTATATATGCTGCTTTTACATATATGAGAACATAAGAGAAGCCAATGGTGGATCAGGCCAATGGCCCATCCAGTCCAACACTCTGTCACACAGTGGCCAAAAATACCAGGTGCCATCAGGAGATCCACCAGTGGGGCCAGGACACTAGAAGCCCTCCCACTGTTCCCCCCACCCAGCACCAAGAAGACAGAGCATCACTTGCCCCAGAGTCCCTATCCATACCTTGTGGCTAATAGCCACCGATGGACCTCTGCTCCATATGCTTATCTAATTCCCTCTTGAAGCTGTCCATGTTTGTAGCCGCCGCCACCTCCTGTGGCAGTGAATTCCATGTGTTAATCACTCTTTGGGTGAAGAAGTACTTCCTTTTATCTGTTCTAACCTGACTGCTCAGCAATTTCATTGAGTGCCCACGAGTTCTTGTATTGTGAGAAAGGGAGAAAAGTACCTCTTTCTCTACCTGTTCTTTCCCATCAGAATTGCACACAGTATTCCAGATAAGGTGGCACCATTGATTTATATAGCGGCATTATGATATTGGCTGATCTGTTTTCAATACCCTTCGTAATAATCCCCAGCATAGCACTGGCCTTTTTTACTGCAGTCACACACGGTCTCAACATTTTCATTGAGTTATCTACTACAACTCCAAGATCTCTCTCTTGGTCAGTCTCTGCCAGTTCAGACCCCATCAACATGTATTTATAGTTAGGATTTTTGGCTCCAATGTGCATCAGCTTTGCAGAATATTAAAGCCTCAATATTTTGTTACTAAAAAAATTAAAATTAAAATAAACATTCAATGTCTTGCACCTTGCACTTGGCCACATTGAACCCCATTTGCCATGTTGACGCCCACTTGCCCATCCTTGACAGATCCCTTTGGAGTGCCTCACAATCCTCACTGGTTTTCACCACCCTGAACAACTTCGTATCATCTGCAAATTTAGCCACTTCACTGCTTACTCCCAACTCCAAATCATTAATGAACAAGTTAAAAAGCAGTGGACCAAGTACTGATCCCTGCGGAACCCCACTGCTTACCATCCTCCACTGAGAAAATTGCCCATTTTCTCTGTTTTCTATTAATTAGTTGCATTGGGCAACTGCAGAGTCTTGACTTCATTAATGGCTGGGTTATTCAGAGAACAATGAAAACAACAGACCATATCTGGGGTGGTTCCAGTATCAAGGGGCAAAGTCCAGTGGTTTGATTGTGTGACGCACAGCTGGAATGCAGGTGTGCTGATACCTTTGACATGATGAAATTAAGGCATTGTCCTTTCACAATGACAGATACATGCTTGCTGTATCCGAGCCTGATAGCTGTACGAGATGGTCCTGAGCACATGTCTGGGCTTGTTGGCTTTGACACAGAGAGGGCTAGGCTTGCCCTATACCAACTTTGGCCCTAACCTGGCTGGGATACCATCCTTCACATGGGAAGGGGAGGCTTCGGCTAACAAGCTAGTAAGCTGTATTCACCTTGATGTGTCACAATTCTGCAGTCTAAAACATCTACATAATTCTGGCTACTAGCCTTGCTGTATAAAATAGAAAACACTACTTCCTAATGATTCCCACTACCTTCTGGGAAACCCTTCAAGGCTAGTCCTAATAATCCATTGTCACATATCAAGGTGATGACATTTGTCACTGCAAGTTTGGAAGGTGTAATGGAATACACAGACAGCCCAAACAGAATAAAAATCAGAAATACTGTTTTTAAAAAAGGAAAAATCACACACATCCTCAAGATAGGGGTATTTGGATGAGAATGTGATCCCAAATTTCAAATTATGCAAGAACCAAGAAGGAGGGAGGGCAGAGGAAAGAAACTGGGTGAGATCAATAGCTACCATTCCTGAAATACAACGGAGAGTCCAGCACCAATGTTGGAGTCCAGGTAGCATCTAAATGCATAATGGGAAAGAGCATGAAGGGAAAGCGCAGGACCAACATGCACCAAACAAGGGGTCTAATAGCTCACAAAACACAGATGGTCCAACGCAGACAAAAGCACACTTTGGGAAAATATTCTGTCCCCCTTACTAGTGATGTGGGTTTTCCAGGAAAATTTGATATAAATTTAAATAATGTTAGTAAAATTTAAATAGCGTTAGTAAAAGAAGACAAATGGGCAATGTACAAGCACTGGGGTTTACAAGCACATTTAGCTTATCTAACATTTGCACAACAACCTTGACAACTATAAATAAAGACTATATTTACATATGTGGGGTGGAAGATTTTCCATAGAAAGGTTAGCATCAAAAAAATGTTCACCCCAGCACCAGAATGGAGTAGGCCCCAGCACCAAAGTGGGGGGTTGCTATTCAAAATGGAAACAGTGAGATGACAAAGGAGAGATGCCAGCTGAAAACTTCATAGGTCAGAGATAAAAATGCATAGTGAAAGAGCCTGATGTTTAGTAAAGAACATAAAGTGAAATCACACAGATTTATCAGGGAACCAGCTCATTAAGTTGAGCCCAATCAGCCTAATACTAATATAGTACAAAACTGATGTTCACAAGGTGAATCATCTTCTGTATACCATATGTAAGGGTTTATACATTGTTCAAGATCTTATATGAAAATATGATTTGGCTACATATCATCTAGCACCATTTAAAACAGTATGAATGGATACTCTGCATCTTATGCTGTTCTCACACCAATGCAACTCACATTTCAGAAATGAACCAAACTGCTACATGGTTAACACACTTTGTGTGGTCTTGATCAAAAAGAATTCTTTTTATTGCAAACATACAACTGTACAAACCAAGCTACAATTACCATAAAATTATATCCTTGGAGTTGTATTTCAAAAAATTTATTAAATGATACAACAAAAATTGCAAGAAACAGTTATGGCATCTCTTGCTTGTGTTTCTCTTTTTCTTTGCATTCAGAAACACTAAACAGAGAGATCCAGAAGCTCAACTGCTTCTCTACGGAAAACCATGCCCAGTGCAACTCTTTTCATGCCAGAGGTTTGAGTTTTTTTCAAAATATTACACTATACTTGAATATAAAGTCATTCATTATGGTTTCAGTTAATTATATACATATTTTCCAGTCCTGTAGAGAATCAGTCATAAACAGGATGTAAATAAATGTAATTCTATGAAACTGTATACTTTACAACTTGTAAAAATGAACATAAATAGCAAAATTACACAAAATTTAAAAAACTTAATGTACCAAGAATTAGCCGTGTAACCCACAATGAAGGGGTTTATCTTTTTTTCAAAAATAAAGAGTTCAGTATTTGCTGGAGATGAGCAACTTCAGCCCATGACGTTTCTATATCTGCAACCAGTTACCCCAGTTGGACCAACACCTGACATCTCTCTCTCTCTCTCTCTCAAGCCTACACGCCTTCCAGGTTTGTAACACAATAAACCCCTGCTTCAAATACATATTTGTTGGCATCTCAATTTCTAGCCGAAAAAATGTACCTTAACTCCAGATTTTTTAAAGCAAAATTTCTACAACGCAATTACTGAGAACTGGGCTCTGAATCAGCAAAAAATCAAACTGGTATTTTTGACTACGTAGACTGATAATTTAGTAATGTGTACAAAATATTCCTTTTCTGTACAAAGGCAATGGAGAACAATACAAGCAATTTGGCTAAAAGTGACCCAGCCTTACACAGATGGACACTTTATATTATTTGTATTGAGGAAAAAAACAAGTACATGATTCAAACAGGCAACCACCATAAACTTCCTTTTAGTGCTAACTCACTTGTTATGGATTCATTAGCGAGTGTGGACTACTACATGGCTATATTCTGAACGACAATTAACTGCTCCAGGCAGAAGGAAATACAATGCGGGGGAGTGAATAAAGTTGGCATTATCGTACACTGATTCTGAAGTTTGTCTGTCACCAGAAGTAACTACTGACCTTACATGTCCTCATATAAAACTGAAAGGCAAAAGAGTGCACACACCTCATTGCATATGGCAACACCTGCACGTTATATAAAAACAAAGCAAAAAATTAGTTTGGCAAATTCAGATCACACAGCTTTTAAAAAACATAATCATTTGTAATTTTTAATGAAGGCATTGCCTCATTAACATTTTGATCTAAACGATGATATCCAACTGTTCTGGAGCAAAGTCCATCTCGCCATCTTCTACCCTGAACCAACAGTATGATCTAAAAAGGAAAACAAAAACATTTAACTAAGTATAAAGCAATAACAACGTTGTTAAAAATAGTAACAATCTTCCACATAAATTTCCTGTTCTATCAGGTTTCTCCATCATCCACCCACAACTATCATACAAGCATTGCCACATTTTCCCACTTGCCTGTACTACACACCAGTGTTCCCGCTAAGCTGAGTTAGTGTGAGCTAGCTCAGAGTTTTTTAGCCTCCAGCTCACACATTTTTGTCTCAGCTCAGGAAGGATGGCTCCAGAGCAAACTAATTTATGTAATAGCTATGTCACCTGCTCACAACTTTAAAGCCAGTAACTCAGAAAGTAGAATTTTTGCTCACTGGACTCCACAGCTTAGAGGGAGCATTGCTACACACATATAACATTTTACTTAGGACTGATTGCTTCTACCTTCAGAGAGGTCAATGAGAGAATCTAAGGAAGCTGAAACACAGCCAGTTGAGATTACTTTTTAAAAAAAACCTTATCCCCACCCATGCTACTGTAAGACCCTGCTTCTTCAACAAGCAAAATGTTGTACATTCATTTCACTCCTAAAGGAGAGGAGAGCACACTGCAAAGGAAAACTTGCTCAAGTTATTTGCAAATCAAGCTTTTAAATGTCAATGCTATGTTACTATTAGTTCATATAAAAAGCTGTAGCAACTGGACGATTTCCAGTTTTCTGACATGAATGCTTTAAAATAATAAATGCTTTAAATAATAAAGTATAATCCATTTTAAAGGTGTACTATGCCTTCATGATCTCTAGTTAAAAGTCTTGTAAAGAAGTCTCCTCTATATGTGCTGACTCCACTAACAGTGTCCCTTTGTTCCAAAAAGGCCAAAATCTGATCCATGGAATAGAGTACTGGATTTGGACATGTTTTCAGAATAAAGTACAAGATACATGCTTTACAATTTGCCCAAATATGAAGGGAGAAATCTAAAGACACAGAAAACAGTGTCATAAATTGACCACATTTATTACAGATTGACTGAAAGCAAAGAAAAATACTGACTTAACAAGAAATAAAATAAAAGAAGAGGTGGAGGAAATATATTTACACTTCTCAGAACATTAAGCTAAAAAAAAGCTCAGACATTTTTGTCTAACCCCACTCTAAAGCACAACAACGCCCAAAGAAGTTTATCCAGCCTTACTTCATTCTTTTTAGCTTACGTACATTGTCAAATCTTCTTTCTGTTTGCACACATACCACAATTGCTAATTAGCAATGAGTTAGATCTAAAGAACCACAAGCAGAGCTCCATTCATGAAACAGATATTTCCTGCAAACGTCCAGCTGCAGCCCCCCTAAACTCACTCCCCAAAAGTTCCCCCAGGGATCAGGCACCCTTGGGAATGGTACAGGAGACTGCAGGGGGAACTGACAGAAATTGATCCTCCTCTTGCATGAGCAAAAGTGCCTTTTTACTAACAACAGGAGAAGAAACATTCAATCTAATGAATGATAAAGGGCTGGGTTTGGGGGCGGGGACAGATTCACATGTTCCAGCTATTAATTTAATTGATTGTACTATTTATTTAAAACATTTCAGTCTCACTTTATTTTCCTGGACAAAAAACAGTCCACAATGTAGCAACCAAGTTGCAAAGGCATAAATTAATGAAATTAAAACAGATTAAAATACACAGTTAACCATTTTAAAACAGATTAAAATACACAGTTAACCATTTTAAAATACACCCAAGAGTTAAAATACACAGGTCAAGCAAACTCACTGCCAGATCTGCTGGAAAAGTTTACCTTTCACCAAATGCTCTCTGGAAGAGGACTGTCTTGCTAAATGAAGCAAGGGAAGGTGCCCTCCTTACCCCCTCTAGCAGGCCATTCTAACAGACTTGGCCTAAAATGGAAAAAGGCCTGTGATCTTGCTATGGCTGTGTGGACAGTCCTAAAGGGAGAAGGCTGTCTGAAGAGTGTGTGCCCATAGTAGTCTGAGATTTCCTAATATCTACAAGCCTTTGTTTCATAATTTAGCTCTGCCTTGGTCTTCCATATAATTTTTAATTTTAAAACACATCTATTATGCTATACATATTATTAGCTTTGCATATGATCAGATACAAAACACAGTTCAAGTGCCACCATGCAATGCAAGGGGGAAATATATTAGCGCTGCATGTAGCTCTGAAGTGTTTCAATGAAAACTCAACTTACCTTTCTTTTATTATGATACGTGATGTAAACCACAGCTACCAAAAAGGCAACTACCACTAGATGAAAAAAGAAATGGCTGTCATCTTCTAACCCTGAGATAGAGTCCTTCATCTCATCAGCAAATGGCTTATTTCCATAGCTGCGTGTGCTTGCCCACTGCTCTTCTTCATCTTGGGAATCTAATGTTTCTTCAATTTGATTGTCATCTTCTTGAGAATCACCAAGATCTATAATTTCCTTTGCTGTTGATAGTGAACTTGTCAGTAAGTCCTCTACAATGTCATTGTCATCATCAGTGTCTTCACCAATATCACTATTAGACTCAAGAGACACAGACATTGGTGTCGGAGATGTGGCTGATTTATCTTCTGCTACTGTCAGGACAGGTACAACAGAAGGACCAACTTCCAAAGTTGGTGAGAGCATTTCACCTTTTGTTGAATCTTTTGCACTGATCTGACTGACTGTTGAAATTATGGGAGGTGAAATAGTGCTGAGCAGCAAATCAGTTTCCTCCTGAGATGTCTCGCTCTCAAGGGCGGTGTCTAGAAGACAATGAAAACCACACTCAACTAAAGTTTGAAACAAATGTTCATTCTATGATATAATTTGATTTTATTAAGAAACCAATAATATTTGCTTATTTTAAAACAATGTACACCTCTCCAAGTGCTCAGGGAATGTTTAATAAGAATGAAAAAAATCAGTAGCAGGCCAAATACAGTATATCTACCATGAAAACATGATCCACCAAAATTATTATTCTTTAAAAAGGGTTCAATAGTTAATACTAATAGCTCAAAGTCATTCTGGGGACAAAGCAAAACTATTTGTTATTACTTGAAATTTCGGAAACTTCAGTTATTATTCATGGGGGAGGGGTCATCCCACTCCCCCCACCTTTGCTTCCTCAGTTCTCCCCCACCCCTTCTCTCAGTCTCTTTTCCTCCCTCCTCCTCCTTCTCTGTCTTCCTCTCTTCTTCTCTTCTCTCATCGCAGTCTTTCTCTGTCTCTCTTCCTCCCCACCTCAGTCAGCCCTCCCCCACTCACTTGGCAGGTGGGGTCAATTATTTGCCAGCCCACCTGCCTGGCTACATCCTCCAGTCTGGACACAGAAAAAGAAAAGTTGGATGTATTACCCTGCCCTTCACTTGAAGTCTCAGAGCAGCTTACAATCTCCTTCCCTTCCTCTCCCCACAACAGACACCCTGTGAGTTGGCGAGGCTGAGAAAACCCTGAGAGAACTGCTCTCGGGAGAACAACTCTGAGAGAACTGTGACTGACCCAAGGTCACCCAGCTGACTACATGTTTAGGACTGGGGAAGCAAACCCAGTTCTCCAGATTCGAGTCCACCACTCTTAACCACTTACACCAAAGTGGCAGGTAAACGTGGTGGAAGCTGCACCCCCTTCTTGACCTGTCCTCCTAGCTCCAGCAGTGGTGGTTTCTGTCATGGTACTCCTCCTCCCCCACTCACCATCAGTCAGGGAGAAATGCCAGCTCCTGTTCTCCCACCTGCCCCCTTGGTCCAGCAGCAAGGGGGTGGCAAGGGCTCCTGCTCCTTTCCCACCTGCCTGCATCAGAGCTACCTGGAGAGTAGTGGCGGTTCCTGTTTTCCCTCCCCCTACCCTTCTTGACCAGAGAGGTGACAGTGCCTGGGCCAGCATTACAGGTGTGTCTGGGTGTGGGCTTGGCTGGCAATATAAGTAGAGATAATAAAAGATGTTGCCAGCAGCAGCACAAAGTTGGTGAAATGAGAAACAATTGCAATACCAGGCAATATGCTTAAGTGGTCATGTCTGATTTTTGCACCTGGCATCAAAATAATCTGTAACAAGTCCAGGACAGCACATGAAGAATAAACCTGGTTACCATGTTCTTCCAATGCAGAATTATTACATAGCCTTCAATCCAGGCTTCCAGAGGAGTCTGCTGTGCACATGCAAAGAGAATCAAATATGGAGTTGAGTCCCAATAACAGCAAGCTTGGGAGTTAAATGTACATATTTCAGTCTCAAAAAGAAGGCACTGATTAGGGATTGTGGTTAATATGTGATAGAATCAGGCATGGTAACAGATGAAATCTTTCTCCACTGAGTGAACTGGATTAGAAACTGAAGTGCCACATGGGTAAGAGGGTAACAGTAGGTTTCTACACCTTTCTTCATAACTGTTGTATGAAGTTCCATGGTAAGCATGTTGTTGTTGTTGTTCAGTCGCACAGTCGAGTCCGACTCTTCGCGACCCCATGGACCAACTAAGCATACAGCTCCTTAACTTGGCTAACATGCTTCAACAGATCATGACCACAGCTTGGATAAAATCCTTTGTTTTTTGCCAATGGGGGGTGGAACAATTTTTGCCAGTTCCCCCTCCCCCCATGTGGACCTTTACAGTGCACCCAGCACTGTTTCTGGAGTCTGCTGACATCCTGAGGTAGCTCTCAGGAGGAGGGGGGGGAATCTATTCTTCTTCCTGACCGCCCCTTGTGATACATGGCATCCAAGTCTACCTAAGAAGCAATAACCTACAGACTTTGATGGAAACAGAAGAGCAATGGCAATCATGACATGAACAGGAGAACTCTCAAGAGATTGCGTACATTCTTAAAAACAACTGATATTGGAATCTAGAATTTTTGTTTCAGCTTTATGCCCAACTACCACTTAAAAGACTGATGCTGGTTTTTCTCTCGTGAGAGACTCTCCACTCCAGGCAGCAATGTGGCAATGCAATTTAGCAACCAATGCTGGACAATAATAACCCTCTCTCACAGGCACTGGGAGGCAAATTTTGCTTGCCTACAGACAGCCCCTAACCTTTAAAAAGTTTCGCCCACAATAATGCATATCCTAATACGGACATGGACCTGCAATAAACCAAAATGCCAACTCTGTCCTTATATTCACTCTAACAAGATACAAACAGGGGTCACAGTGTACAATAACATGCCAAAAAACAGGAAATCACTGTGAGCAATGATAATGACACATTTAATAAATTTTACATAGAAACAAAGTCCAACAATTCATTTACTCAATATTACAATAAAAACAGAGTCCAACTTATTCATATTCTCAACAGAGTATAGCATTTCCCTCACATTACTCAATGAGTACACTGGTTTTTACACTCATGTCATTATCTTCCTCAAGAGTAATCTTATAGTTCTTATAGAGTTGGAAGGTGTTATAAAAAAGCACATGTATAAAATTCTAGTATATATATCATATAGGAGTGTACTATTTGAGTGTTAGTGTTCTACACCTTTAAGACATTAATATAACAACATGCAGCTGTCTGGAAGCCTTTAGATAGTTCCTTCAGAATTACTTTCCAAAGTGAGTAACATTGTCAGCTTGTCTTTTTAGTAGGCTTTCAGCCAGATAGATATAAAATGCTGAGATGTACTCACTTTACAGAGAGCTACTGGCCAACAATGTAATATGGAGAGCAAATGCCAGCCAATTTAAAGTAGGCTTGTTGCCACATAAAATTATGGACCGGCTGCTACGAGTAAATATGATTGGCCTGCTCCATTTTTAGAACATGCAATGGAACTGTAAGTAAGTTTAAAATTTAAAATTATAGTTATAATTGATAACAATATTACTACACACAGCTTCATGTTTGTTTTACTCCTTTCTAATGTGCTTTTTACAGGATAGCTTAGGAAAACACCTTCCAACTCCTAATGCATTCACTTCATAGAGAGCTATTGGCCTACAATGTGAAATGGAGAGCATATGTCAGCCAATTTTAAAGTAGGCTTTTGCCACATAAAATCATGGACTGCTTGCTACAAATAGACATTCAATTTATTGGCCTGCTCCTACTTAAGAAATGCAATGGAACTGATAATTTATAGAAGAAAACACCTTCCAACTCTATAAGAACTATAAGATTACTCTTGAGGAAGATAATGAAATGAGTGTAAAAACCGGTGTACTCATTGAGTAATGTGAGGGAAATGCTATACTCTGTTGAGAATATGAATAAGTTGGACTCTGTTTTTATTGTAATATTGAGTAAATGAATTGTTGGACTTTGTTTCTATGTAAAATTTATTAAATGTGTCATTATCATTGCTCACAGTGATTTCCTGTTTTTTGGCTTATATTCACTCTGATACAACACAATCACTAGACCCTAAAAACACGAGCCATACCATCTCAGGTTCATTCACTTGTTCATCTTCCAAAGTTATATATGCCATCAAGTGTTAATATGCCTATATGCCTTTTCACTCTCTACATCGGACAGTCCCTACACAAAAGAATAAATTTTACTTTCACACTACATTCCATTGCTGAGCAAAGAGTGGCAGTCCTCAAACAAAGTTAAGTTCAAGGGGAGATTACAATTTGAGATTGCTGAGTTTGAGTTCATTCACAAATTCAAAACAATGGCCCCTCCAGGGCTGAATATGCACATAGGATTCACACGGAGCATTAGCCACGCTACAGATATAGGCGGATTTTCCGGGCGCGATCACAGCACCACATCTGGGAAGCATAGAGCTCCCGTGGCGAACCCGAGGCTTCCCGCCGAAGATGCGGGGTAAAAAACTAGTACCTCCGAGGTACTAGTTTCCAAAAACCGCGGGGCAAGGGTGGGCGCCTGATTGCGTTTCCAGTGGTAAGTCGTGGCATCCGGCGCCCGCCCATGTCCTGTCACTAAGGGGAGGTACAGGGGGAGCGTGGCGGGAGGGCGGCCCGGCTGAAGCTCCTCCTGGAGGGGACCGGACGGAGGACACAGTTTGCATTCCTCTGCAGCCCTGGAAGGGGTTAAACCCGCGGAGCCTTTTGCTAGGGAGGCCGCTTCTTTGCCGTGCCGCAGGATTGTCCTGTGATCAGCACCCCCCCCTAACCACGGGACCTCGACGGGATGTCTGATCGCGCAGCCACGCGTTATTTTGCTCTGGGGCAAACAGCTACGCTCCCCCCCCCCCGCATTTTCCTGCCCGTGTGACCGGGGGGCCTATGTTTTGTATTGTAGTTCTACAACCTGACTCCTTTCTTTGCAACACCCCACCACACACTTTTAGACAGGGTTATAAGGACTCAGGGATCTCCATTCCTACTTGTATCTGATGAAGGGAGCTTTGAGTCTCAAAAGCTCATGTCCCAAAAACTCTTCTTCGTCTCTAAGGTGCTCCTGGAGTGGAATCTAGCTGTTCTACTGCAGTTCGACACAGCTACCACCCTCAGAAAATATGAAGGAGAAGTTTCAATACATACACTGAACCAAAATGTTGAATGGTATCTGTTCCTACTGAAATGTGCTTTCGGACTGTATTGGACTGTGAGCTAATGCTAATATAATTTATGCACACCTAGATTAGGAGAAACAATAATGAGCCTTTATTATTCATGCCTGCAGGTGATCAGAATCTATGTACCAGGTAATCAGCATAAACAAGATTCAGCAAAGCCAATCATTTCATAATATCTGTGTATAAAAATACGTTATGATTTGTAATTAGCTGTTATGGTACCAAGACAGCAACTTTTTTCCCTAATATACTGTTTTCAGCCACACACCAGTACATTTTGCTTTGCCTGTGAGCAGGCTGGTAACTAAATATATCATTTAATGCAGAATTCTGGCACCTAGGAGGCACAGAAGAGGTAATGAACACTGGGAGAAACATATATGGTTAACCATACAAATACAGCAGTATCTCATTAAATTAGGCTATCAAGTACAGTATTAGGACAGTCTACTGAACCAAATAACCATTAAATAGCACATCTAGTTTCCTACTCTGGTACAGAATATGGTCATCTTGTATGCTGAAGGTCTGCAGGTTTGCAAGTATAAGTTCTGAAGAGGTTTTCAAATGTTTTGCTGTGATGGTAATGAAACATATTTTATAACTGGCTTAAAAACTGGATCCTAACAGTTTCATGTGAACTACTTTTGAATTTAAAAAAAAAGATCCATGTTTTTAAGACATACAAAGCATTCTATTACAGAATGGAATAATTTGTGGAAACACTGAAGAAAAACTGAAAAGATTTTACAGTTGGCAATATCTGTAAGACCTAGGTTCAGCTCGTCACGCTGCCATGGAAGCTCCCTGGGGGACCTTGGGCCAGGGACACACATTCAACCTCATCTACCTCACAGTGTTGGTGTGAGGATAGAATGAAGGAGTTGAGAATGTTGTAAGCCATTTTGGGTCCCCATAGGGGTAAAAAAAGTATAAATAAATAAATAATCAAGTGAGTTACGAAACATAATACAGTCAATAATAGATAAGCCTATATAAACCAAACCACAGCCTGCTAATTAAGCATTTTTAGACATCAAAGGCCTGAAGAAACAAATTTCGAGATCTAAGAACCAACAAATCCCTGCAGGTAATTTAATAATCAAAAGCAGCCAGCAGTAAAGTTATCCCCTACAGGAGAAAAAATAGGAGAGAAAACATATTCTCTGGATCACAATTCAAATTATTGCCAGAAAACTGAAGTAAACCAGGAAGTAAAGTGGCAAATAGTGTCGCTTCTTACAAACTGGTGTTACATGTTCTAAGCAGCTAACATGAAGAACCAGTATGGCTCTGTTGTCATATTCTGAACTGTACCTTCTAAACCACATCCAAGGGCAGCCCGGTATAAAATGCATAACTAGTCTAAACTAGCAGTTACCAGGATATGCACCACACAGGTCAAATCCTTCTGCTACAGACTATATTGCTCAAAAAAAAAATTGCTGAGCTACTGGTTTTTTCTGAAATTACTCTGGTGCCTTAAAGTTGCTGAAGCTGAAACATGTTCAGTGTTAGTACAGAGAATGTAAAATACATTTTCCTTTTACAAACTGTGTGATCAAGCACCAAGTGTATAACAAACTGCAGTCTTCCCATCCTCACGGCTGCTGTACTTCAAAAGGAAGAACACTTCCACCTCTCTGCTCTGAATGGCCAAAAACAACATGCCACAATCCAGTATGGAGATGCTATGCCACAAAGAATTAATTATACATGTAGGATTTTGCCCGCCATGGAGTTGTAAATAGCATCATAAATTCTGTCAAAGGACATACAGGACTCCGCTTGACTAGAACGTGAACATACTTGAAGCACGGAGCATAGGTACATAATTTAGTGAGCGATGTGGCTGGCACGGTCACTTCCAGTAACACATACTAAGGGGGGAGGGATATAGATACACATGCCGCGAGGGGGGGGGAGATAAAATTCCTGAACTTGGAGAAATAGAGGTCTGCCTCTTAAGGTCGGGAGAGGAGTGGAAGTTATTCCTAGGAGTCGCGTGAAAGTCTGCGGGGCCGCCTGCCTAAACTATAAAACGGCGAAGGGTTCTCGGGAGGGCACCTCGAAAAGGGAGGCGAAAAGCTGCGAGCCGCCTGACAGCATAGTGGAGAGGGAAAGACAGAAGGCGGAACTCCGCACACTAAGGACAGCCGCTCCACTGAGAAGCAGAGAAAATCCTTCAAGCCCGGCACAGCCTGCCCCTCCCTGACCCTTTATCCACCAAGTCCTCTGTCCTCACCGTTCGCCTCCTGGCCCCAAGCCGGTAGGGCCACGTCGAGTAGTACGCAAAAAAGAAAGAGGGAGAGGGAAATCCGCCTGGTCGATAACGGCGGTGCCGGTCCCGCCACACCTCCCCTTATCTTTCGCCCGGCGGCAGCAGCCATGTTTGCTGACAAGCAACAGCGACTAAAGACGTGGCCTCGCCTCCCTACGCCCGCCATCCTCCAGGCGCTGCTAGGCAACGACGTTCCGTCCAACAAGACCGTGGCGTCAACTTCCGCTTCTAGACTTGGCACGAGGCTGGCCACTGCCCCAGTGGGCTGGCTCGAAAGCCGCACATTTCCGTTGGCCGTGGTTCCGGGAAAGCACCGCATGGCGTCGCTATAAGCCCCGAAATCTTTCAGGCTAGTACTGTAAACGCTAAAGATTCTTTTATTATTGCTAGACTACTTCCTGTTTTCATGAGCGCAGGGCCGGTGCCAGGGTTTTTTTAACACTAGGCGAGGCCACCTTCTGGCGCCCTCCCCCCCCCCGTGCGCCCACCAATTTTCAAACAAAAATGCATTTTAGGAAGAATGATAAACACAAAATTTGAAATTGCTAAATTCTTTTTTTTATTGTGAGAACAAGTAATACACTCTGATTTTCTCTCTCAAACAGCAAAACACACATCATAAAGCATTTTGAAAAATCCTGTTAACTGTGATGTTGAAATTTAAGTCTCTTTAATGTTTCCATTTCAGGCACATCAGAATCTCATTTCACCTGCCTTTTCTTTACCAAATTTTGTCACCAGTTCCTTTTTCAATTGAAACAGTTGCCAAACCAAGTAGTCTCTTTTGCAGGATTGTCAGCGTATGTGTGTTTTCATAAGTTTGAGTTTTGAGAAGCTGCGTTCACCACTTGCCACTGACACTGGAAGTGTGAGAAGGATCCTTAGAGCAACGGAAACATTAGGCACACTATCCTGGGGTTTTTGTTGAAGTATGAAGAGAAGTACTCTTTGTGGTGGCATAGACTTTGGAAGTCTTTGAGCGTCTGCTTGCAGTTCACAACACAGGATGACTCAACCGCCTTTCCAATCCATCATTTCAGCAGCAACAAGATCTCTCAGCTCTGACTCCAGTTCATTTTTTGTTGTTGTTCAGTCGCACAGTCGAGTCCGACTCTTCGCGACCCCATGGACCAGATCACGCCAGGCCTTCCGGTCTTCCGCCGTCCTCTGAAGTTTACTCAACTTCATGTTCGTTGCATCTATGACACTGTCTAACCATCTCATCCTTTGCCGTCCCCGTCTTCTTTGACCTTCAATCTTTACCTTTCACTTAATACCTTTTTCAGGCTTATGGAGACCTGATTTTGATCAGGATTGTAGTGTGAAAGGAGGGTGGGGCAGCATTCCCCCCTTGCTGATTTCTAGACTTGAAACATCCCCAGGAAGTTGCTATTTGCTGCACTGGGATAAACAAACCAGTAGAGACATCAGGTACAATCAGTTATGATTTGCAAAAACCCTGAACTTCTCAACCAGATATGTGCCTTCTTGTTTGTGTTTGTCCCCACTGAAGCTTTAAAAACAAGAAGACAATTCTGCTCTAAGAAATGCTAGAGAGAGGGGGGAAATAGCTTTGTCAATGCTGCAAGAGAAATAGAGTGTGTGGGGGGTAGGTAATGTTGCCAGTTTCATTATGGTGATGAGTTGAGAGAGAGAATTCAAGTTGTACTGATAGCCTTGATCAGTATCAGTTTCTTGCAAGAAAAACCCCCGATGATGTGACACAAAATAATCTTCCCCTGTCCCCACTAAAAACAGATACAAAACCTTTTTTTTAGAGATAAGGAGGAAATGTGCTGGTGATGGGACAAGCCTTAAGCAACAAGAACTCAACACTGCTGGCTTTCTTCCAGTTCAGCATGAACCACACCCAAACATGGTTGTTTTAAGAGATTACCCTAGGTCAGAAAAAATGTTTGAGCTGCAAAGATAGTGTTATATCAATACTCTAGGTGCGGTCTGAGCAGAGCAAAGCGATACCATCAGTTCGTGTGATTTGGACACTGTACTTCTGTTGATGCAGCCCAAAATCGCATTTGCCTTTTTAGCTACCGCATCACACTGCTGACTCATGTTCATTGTATGGTCTACTAAGACCCCTAGATCCTTTTCACACATATTACTGCCAAGACAAGTCTTCCCCATCCTATAATTATGCACTTGCTTCTTCCATACCAGTGAGCCACAGCTCCTCCTTTTTTGGCTCTTTCTTGTAAGAACATATGAGACGCCAATGTTGGATCAGGCCAAAGGCCCATCCAGTCCAACACCCTGTGTCACACAGTGGCCAGAAATACCAGGTGCCATCAGGAGGTCCACCAGTGGGGCCAGGACATTAGAAGCCCTCCAACTGTTGACCCCCCCAAGCACCAAGAAGACAGAGCATCACTTGCCCCAGAGCCCCTATCTATACCTTGTGGCTAATGCAGTTAGGTGCATTAACTAATGTTAGTGCAAACTTCAGGACATGCTTTGGCATCCAATGGCTTTGATTAGGTACGTATCTAAGATCAAGCCCCCGAGATGCAAGCCTGCCTTTAATGCACAAATTGGAACTACAATTTTGATTGACATCACCACTGACAAACCCACAATCGAGGCCATTGGATGTCAAAGCATGTCCTGAAGTTTGCACTAACGTCAGCTATTGCAGCTACAAGAAAGAGCCACAAAGAAGGGGCTGTGGCTCAGTGGTAGAGCATCTGCTAAGCATGCAGAAGGTCCCAGGTTCAATCCCCAGCAACCCCAGCTCAAAGGAGCAAGTAGTAGGTGATGTGAAAGACCTCTGCTTGAGACCTTGGAGAGCCGCTGCCAGTCTGGGTAGACAAGACTGACCTTGATGGACCAAAGGTTTGATTCAGTACAAGGTAGTTTCATGTGAATGTGATGATATCCCAGAGCACTGCCAGCAACAAAGAGGAGATGCAAGGTGGTAAAACACAGAAAAAGCTCCATAGGGTGTGAAGGCAGAGTTCTCCAGTTGAAGGACCTCAAAGAATGGGTGGAGAGAACTGTACATCAGACCATGGAGGGCTGTTTCCAGTTAGAGAAGACAACACTGAGCCATATAATTCAAGGATAGATTTGTATTTCACTATGTTCAGGGATACCTGCGTTGCCTGGATATTTTCACCACAATATTTACACAAATGATCCATCATTAAATCACCTCTCTCACAGAAAAGTGTGTCTGACCCTAGATTAGGACACAAGTCTGAGATTTACCACAGAGGAGGGGATTATTTCAGCCTTCCCAGCCCATCTAAATTCTCATGAAAACAAATGAATTCTGGGGAGGGTGATATTTTGTGAGCTGCGAAGTGGACGTGAAACGGTCTAGCAAAGCCACCTAACTAACATACTCACCAGGAGGGCTCACAGCCTCAGTGCTCTGTGGGTCTTGGGTAAGACTAAGGACTATCTGTAAAACCCACCAGTTTTATAAACATAATATTTGAGCACCTAACCTATTGATCTCTCTCCTTCATTAACTATGTGGATCTTTCTCTGCTTCTAACCAGGAGATCAGGTCTGGTTTGGGAACTCCTTTCAACAAAAATAAATACGCCAATTTCTTATGACTATAAAATATTTAGGTATCCCTGATAGTTTTTTGCAGTGCTACTGAGTCCAGCTGGAGTCTCAGTGAGAAAGGTGGACTATAAATAAAATAAATACAAATATTATTCCAAACAGTGGTGGAAAGTGCCATCAAGTTGCAGCTGACTTACAGAGATCCTGTGGGGTTTTTAAGGCAACAGCCATTCGGAAGTGGTTTGCCATCACCTGTGACCCTGGGCTTCCTTGGTAGTCTCCCATTCAAATACTAACCAGGACCAACCCTGCTTTATGTCCAAGATCGGATGAGATCTAGCCTGAGCTATTCAGGTTAGGGTGGGAATGAGATAGAAAAACAAGCTATTATAAATTCCTGCCCACAAGTAGGTTAGGGCTGTGAGGCCCCAGAAGGGTCAGTGTGGCGCTTTTAGACCTGCTGTTTGCCACTCAGGAATCTTGGATTCACATGTGGGGAGGAAGTGATCTCTAGCCTCCCCCCTTTGTCTAGGAATTCGGAGTCACTCCGCCTGTATCTGGAATCGCGCGCCCCCTCCCCCAGGCAGTTGCCTCCCTGCAAATGGAACTCTGCAGAGGCTTCACCCCCCCCCCCCCGCCTTTGAGAAAGAGGGGCTCGCTTTTGGGGGGGAGCAGCTGCATGATCTCAGGCTGACCCTCTCCGCCAGGAGGGGGTTTCTCAGCACCATGTTTTTGCCAACAGAGGGAGCCGCGGGTGAAGGGTTAAAGGGAGTGAGTCGACACGGAAGGCCCCCCCCCCCGAGGTCACTTCCATCTCTTTCCCCCTCATCCCAACCCCTATGGGAACTCCACCCTTGTCTTTCCCATGCTGCCCGCAGCCATCCCCAACCATGTCCCTGATGGATCCAGTGAGTTCTTTAGGCTGCTCTTGGGCGAAGGGAGGGGCAGGCAGGGGAATGGGGGGTGGGAAATGGTGGGAAACACACACCCAGCTTTGCAGCAGGAGCCCTTCCCGGTAGGTCCAGGGACTCGTTCTGCTTCTTGGCCATCCAGCCTGTGAAGGGGCTTCTGCTGTCAAGTCTCCCCCTCTCTGCCGGCCTTGCTCCAGGAGCGTTTCTATGGGTGGCCTGCTCAGGTCCTCAGCCTGACAACGGAGCGGGCTGACCGGCCACCAGCCCACTTCCCATGGGCACCTCCAGCCTTTCCGTCTCCTCAACTGCACCCCTGAGATCTGCACCCTAGGCAGCTGCCTAGTTGGCCTAATGGGAGCACCGGCCCTGAGGGTAGCATTCCCCTCTTGCTGATTTCTAGACTTGAAACAGCCCCAGGAAGTTGCTATTTGCTCCACTGGGATAAACAAACCAGTAGAGACATCAGGTACAATCCGTTATGATTTGCAAAAACCCTGAAGTTCTCAACCTGATATGTACTTTCCTGTCTGTTTGTCCCCACTGAAGCTTTAAAAACAACAAGACAGTTCTGCTCTAAGAAATGCTAGAGAGAGAAAAAATAGCTTTGTCAATTATGCAAGGTAAGAGAAATAGAGTGTGTGTGTGGGGGGTTAATGTTGCCAATTTCATTATGGTGATGAGGAACTCAACACTGCTGGCTTTTCCCCAGTTCAGCATGAACCGCACCCAAACATGGTTGTTTTCAGAGATTACCCTAGGTCAGAAAAAACATTTGAGCTACAAAGATAGTGTTATAGAACCAATCTGGCCTTTTAAAAATGTTCCAGCGCCTGCTCCAGGGAGAGGCTGCTGTTGGCCAGGAAGAGCCCCACCACCTCAGTCTGACTCCTCAGCAAGGTGTTCATGGCGCTGGCGGGGCTGCAGGCATGGGCGGCAGTGGCATGCAAAGAGAACCAAAGGCAGGCAGGGCCAGAGTGCCTTGAGCACAGCCAGCCTCATGCAGTGCCGCTGGAGGATGACGTCGTCCCCCCTGCAGGAAGCCAGTGCCCCGGCCCAGCGATCCCTCCACTCAGGCTGTCCCCCGCTCGAAGCTCCAACTTGGCCAAACGTTGGGAGGCAAGGGCACAAGAGGCGACAACAGGAACTGTGCCCTAGATAGGGTCTGCCAGACACTTCAGGCGTGGGGAAAGAGCTTGGAGGGCACCGGGCAGCAGACACACCTCGGTGGCTGGGGGAGGCAGGTGCAGTGACAGTCCTTGGCCAGCAGGAGCAGCCTGGCAATGAGCAGCAGACAGCAGGCCAGCGCCCACCTGAAGGCAACCACCTAACTTGGCTATATGGATGCGCCGGCCCTGCATGAGTGGGACAATTCTAGCGGACAGGAAACCTGCGCAAGTACAAGTGCCTGGACTGAGGTGTGCTTGCCAGTCTTCGCGTAGAGAAGACTCTGCAAGGGCAGGAAACATAGACACGCCAACTGAAGTTTGGGACATACTAAAACAAATTACAGCCAGCCATTGGAGAGCGTCTGGGGCTGCCTGCTGGTCGCAGGTAGAGGCCCAAGTCGGTCACAGCAGGCCCTCAAAAATATGCTCGTGGGACGTGGCTTTTAATTAAGGGGGCGTGGCTCGAAATGCCCCACCATGGCTACT